TGCCTGCGTCTTATGGAGCAAATACCTATCGCCCGACGCCCTGGACATGCCGTTTCGGGCACCGGGCGAGTAGTTTTTGGTACATTCAGCTCTGCTCCTGACGAGCAGAGCTGAATGTACAAAGGGGAACAGCTGCTGTCCTTGGCAGCGAAAGGGTTAATACAAGTGATCTAATTAGATCACTTGTATTAAATCGAGCGGCGGTGGCGATCGTGTCCGCCCCCGCCATGGTTTTTGGGGACCCCCCCTCCTCTGGGGGACTGTGTCCACGGTCCCCCATAGGAGCTCACCATAGAGCCCCTTGAGCAGACGAAGAACGTCGTTCTTCGTCTGCTCTGTGTGATTACTGAGACAGCGCCACCTGTCTCAGCTGTCACTAACTGCAGCTTCTGTCACAGAATTTCTGTCACAGAAGCCCTGCGTCCTATCATCCGGGGCGAAATACGGTATATATATATTTATTATTTTTATTATTATTTTTCGTTATGCTGTATGAATGGGAACACATAAATATATAGTGAGTGTTTTCTAAAATTTGACTGCAAAAGTGAAAACGCACTTTAAATCTAAAATAAAAGCTGCTAGTTGTTTTAAACAGATGCCAACAATTAGGCAGCTAATACACAAAACTAAGGCTTCAAACTCTGTATCCATCAATCCTAGATCACCTTAATATCTGTAAGTAAAAAAAAAAATGGCACCAACTCTTTCCCAGAGTAGCACGTGTACATAGCAATCTTTTTGTGTAACTATACAAGTAATTTCCTTTTCAGCTAACCTATATCGCCAAACATATTATAATCAAATGTGTGAAGTTAAAAGCTGTAGAACAGTACACGCATCTGTCATCTTTAAAAAATGTTGAGGTCACAAGAAATGACGACCGAAATAACCGTGCTTTGCTTGATACATTATGTTCTAGTATATAACGAAGTCAAATATTTTGACAGCTTAACATGAAACTAATTTATTACAGTACCTTGCAACCTTGCAGCTGGACTCGATCAGATCATTCTCGATATCAAGTAGGCTTGGAGGCAGGCTAAATTCCATGGGAGAGGTCAGTCTCTTTAAGCGAATTAATGCTACGCAGAATTTAGCGCCCATCTCTTCTAGCTCCTTTGTCCCAATCTGCAAGCCCTGGAGGAAGCAGAAAGATTTCACATCATCTACATGAGAAACAGCTCATCTCCAACAGTTCATAAAATCAAATGTTTAGCATGGCAGTATTTACTTATATGAAGCTTACTCCACAGCTCTGCGACTCATCAAAGCCCCTAGCCTCCTGCTTAGGCTTTGCAGCAATTACTTATTTTTTTTACAGCATAGGGTAGTGCCCTATGTTAGACTTCAAAATTGGAGGATAACAATCTCGGTACCAACACATCACATACAGTAGATATTTCTTACAAGCATTGTTTAAATTGGTCACACAGGTTACTGCCACTGTAGGATGTCCCCCTACATAGACCCATATAAAAATATTTGCTGAAAATGCATACAGGACACTGCCAACTCTGAATCTGACATAACATTGATGTGTGTATGAGGTTCAGTGCATGGTTGCGGTTGCCGAACCATCCATAATATCAGATCTAGCCTTCACTATGAATTGCAAAGTCTACTACATTTCATACCACTGCCACCTGTAGACAAGGTGGAAGGGCACTAGTTTGTCTGATCTGCATGTGAATGGGCAACTATAGACTGGCCAGCATTAAACCTTAAAGCCCAATTCTGGGAAAATCCCTTCCACCTCCCTCTAAATTGATCACTGGTATGAAGCCTTTTTTACTTCCCTAAAGCCATGGTCACATGACGCTCCTGTCCCAAGTCTTCTCTCCTCTCCTGTCTAAATGCAGCAGGGTCCTTCTTTGGGTGTCCAGATCACTGCCTACATGAAGTGGACACTTTTTATTGGCTGACACAAGTGCAAGGGGACTATTGGAGACGAGCCAGTGCAGAAATACCTGCAAGGGGTGGATTATTGGTCCCCCCCACCTGGAAATGGCACCGGAGAAGGACCCAGATGGCAGACTTAAGTTAGTATACCTTGCTTCACAAGGCAAGAAAAAAAAAAGAAGAAAAAAAGGATGGGTTGGGGGGAATAATGTTTTAGTTGAAGTTGAAGAAAAGAAAAGTAATTAGTACTTACAAAGGCATTTCACCACAATATAAATTGCAAAGGTATCTCCCCATGCTGGCTCATTAAACAAAACCCATAAAAAAACTGAAATATCTGATTTGACACTCTACCTACCAGCCTTTTAACCTATGAGCTGATAAAATTAGCACACCTGCAGCCTCTTGGGATGTCTTTGTTACTAGGCAGTGTTCCAGACCCCAAATCCCACAATATGGCTTTACCATTCATCATCTTTGTAATTTCTGCCTTAAGGGAATATTAAAAGAGTACATAGTGACAGCATGCATATGTGTTATCAATGGGACAGCTGAAAGATCCAGTGAGAGGTGACACCAATGGAACCTGTGAATGGAAGCAATCCATTTTCTGTGAGCTCAGGGCATCATGGATCTGCCTCCTAGAGGCAAATCATCACAACATCCTGGTATCAAAGTACTGCTGTATTGAACGGCACATACAGGAGCAAGAATGACCCAGCATTGGAAGGAATAAGGAATGGTAAAGTAAAGGACCCCATATGTCACGCTGCCAAAGAAGACAGCTGGAAAACATGTTTGTACAGAAAAAAAAATGCAGGGTGGGAGGCAATGGAGAGGGGGAGGATTGGTGAGCTTTTCGCCCAACCTAGAGTTGGGTTTCAGCAATACTTTTAAACAGAGTTTCAATTAAATAAAACAGATTTATCAATTACCTCCTGGCTAGGGTCATGCCTTGGCAAGTATAAATGACCTGTTTGTCGAATTGTGCATAAATGTTGATTTTTAAACAATTCCTTTAAAAACCACTAAATAGCCTTACTTTCTAAGATGTAGCAAAACATTTTGACAAACACAAAAACACCCCATCCCTCCTTCAGTACACATACAATTAAGTATTTAGAAAAGAATGAACTGAAATACATGGTAAGAATGCTTACATTTTTTAATTGCTACTTTCAAGCTACAGAAACGGCAGTAAGTGAAATTGATTTTAGGTCACAACCAGTTTGAATGTACCTGCTAAGTGTTCCCATTTGTCGTTGTAATGACCCATTATCTACCCTGAGACTGTCTGCACAAAGTGGGCTCCATCCTCAATGTCATTTCTGTGTATAATAAACAATAATGGCCTTGGTATTTGCCCCAGTGGAGCATCCTTCTACACTAACAGGAGTGTGCTCCATTCATCACTACTCTGCATGCCAATTGACAAATTAAATCTAGATTTATTTTGTTTATATGGTTTCACAAAATACTTTTAATGCCTTAGTAATAATTGCAGCAGGTTTCTATCTGTCAATAACCTTTTATTAAAAGAGACACAAACCCTAAAACACTTATTGGCTTAACATAAAAAAAGACATTAATAAACATCCATAAAAGCAGATGTAAAAGTTCTCAAACTCCAACACAATAGCTTGAATTAACAAAACCACAAAGCATGAGGTATTCGAATTGCCATATATTATTATTTTGTTAACACTCTACTACTAAGGGTATTACTAATTCATCATTCATTTCCACATGTATGAGATACATTGCTACATGCAAATGATAATGTACCACATACACTAAATCTCCTCAAATTTTAATAAACACTGTATTGATTTCTGCTGCTTAAAATATATTGCTAATTACAGGAAGGTAAAGATTGAATGAGGTGGCTATTAATGAGAGCAGGGAAGCCATAATTTAAAAATATTAATGAGAAAATAAAACTTTTAGCAGTTAAATGTTCATTTAAATTAATTTTAGTGCACTCAAGGAGCTATTAGCCATGTGATCGCAATAAAGTTTAAAAAAAAGAGAAAAAAATGATACACAACTTTTTTTTTCTTTTTTAACCCCCC